TTTAAAAAAAAAAAATTTTTTAAATAATTTAAAAAAAAATCATAAATGCATCTTAACCCCAAACGACTTGAATTTTATATATGCTGAACGCTGGGACATGAAATTTATTACATTTCAGTAAATAACTCTTAAGCTTACCTCAATGGAAGATTGTTTCTTGAAAAGATCGATGCAAAATGTGCACAAATTATCGTTAGAATCACCATCTTTCTTTTCCAGGAAGGAAATGACAAGTTCTGTACTAGTATCGCTATCGCTTTTTTTGACCAGAGGTAGCTCTTTTCTGCAAATGTCGTTTTCGATGAACCTATATAGGAAATCAGAGTAATGTTGGATAATGCAATATGCTGCGAGGTTAATTTTGGTCTTGTCAGGTTAACTCTAATCATTCAGATCATCATAGTTCATCTATATTCAGATGCAACTCCTCTCCAAGTTGACTTATAAATGGCCCTATAAATTAATTTAGACTACTAGCCCTTCATCAAGGTTCAAGAAAAAGCTAAAACATAACATCGAAGAATTAGAAAACGTGCGCACGCGCGTGATGTGTTTAGTTATAAAGCACGCGGGGGTTGGAAAACACAACATAAGTGTTAGGAGAAGCAGGACGCGTAGCGGAGTGCTTTTCGACACTTCTCGATTGTTCTGCCAATCCGCAAGTGCTTTATAACTCCAAACAGTACAGCAAGCAAGATTTTTGTTTCTTTTACCATGATAAAATGCAAAGGGCGCGCGCAAGCTGCGTGCTCTGATAAAGCACGCGCTCCCAACCAATCAAAATGCGAGATTTATGGCAGTTAATTTATAATATATTTTATTATTTCATTGTAACCGGTGTCATAGCAACTGTCAGTAACGTTTTATGGAAATACGAAAGATATATATATATTTACAGCCATTTGCAAAAAATTATGGCCGCTTCCAATATATATACAAGTATATCAAAAGCATATCAAATGTTATGGGATATCCTCCCTTATATTTTTTTCGAGTTGTCTATCATTAGGGCTTTCTGAAAAAAATATCAAGAAAGATATCCCACCCTGTCTGATATACTTTCGATATACTTGTATTTATATTTGAAACGGCCATAATTTGTGCAAATGGCTGTATATATATATATATATATATATATATATATATATATATATAAGAGCTTTGAAATTGCAGATTTTTTGTATATATATAACAAATAGATATCAGTTCTTTATGTGTTTGTCCTCTTATTGAAGATAAATTGCGAATTGCGTCATCACATTGTCAAAGTAGTGTGGACCCATACGGCGTAGCCGAGACATAAAAACTGATGTCTATTTGTTGTTATTAAATAACAAAATCGATCAAAACTTCTCATTTTAGCGATCAAAACAACCAACGGAAAGAGCGCGCGCTCGTTAACGTCAGCTTTATCTGTCTGTCCTCTTATTGATGATAAAAAAAAAAACCAATCAGCATACGAGAAATGTGTAAGTTATTGTGAAAATATATATAACATAGTTAGTAGACGGGGACTAACTATGTTGCAAAAAATTCTTTACTAAAAACCATGGAGTCTCGTGGTTAACATTATAATCTTACCGAAGAAAAATGTCTTCGTTTATTTTCTTCTTGTAGCATCCTTCTACTCTTGGATAGGCTTTGTCATCTGGTCGCATTTTCTTGTTTCCTGTAGAGGACGCAAGTTGTGTGTAGCCTTGCCCTTTCAGGGAGAAAAAATAAATCATCATCAGAGAGATTATTATGAACGATCCGGATTTCACGAATTGGTTTTAGTTCAATGGCAGCATTACATGAGCCGTTTTTCTTGTGGGGCCTCGTTTTTTTATTACTGGAATCAGCAACAAATATATTGACATCATTGTCTTTGTTTCGTTTGTCTTTAGCTCTTACTTTCCAATAAATCTGTTTTTTCGAACTATTCGTGGTTTGGTACACACACCAAAGTCATTGTGAGGGATGTATAGACAGCAAAGCTGACATCTTGGGGAGCTTTTAACAAGCTGCATAATTCAGTTTTTTTGAAGACAGCAAAGCAAACATCTTGGGGAGCTTTAAACAAGTACCGAGAAAACGAAGATGCCACTGTTAAGGGTATTTCATATGTCCAGGCCCACAACCTTTAAAAAAAAAAAGAATAGAATCAATATTGTTTTTAAGTGCATGCATGCATAATTGTTGGCCTAGAATTTAGAGCTCAACCGATGCTTCCGTAACCACCTAACTATAGCAAACATTAAGGGAGGAAATTTTGCTGTCAGTGACTCAACCCCTGTTACACGGTTGAACAAAACCCCATGATAGCACACGTCTCACTGTAATCAAAGTTGAGCTCTTACTGTATTAATATTTATAGAAAAACAAATCATACTGAAGTAGGGGAACTTTTATTTTGTAAAGGACCTCCGGCGGTAGCTTAAATTTAAATCACTTTAAATTTTAATCACTTTAAAGCAAAAGAACTACGTGCCAAACACAATCTCTTTCCACTCATATTGCGGCTGAGAGGCCATCGCTAAAAACAAACAAACAAACAAACAAACAAAAAACAAAAAACAAAACAACAACAACAAAAAAAGAAAACAAAAAACAAAAACAAAACAAAAACAAAAACCAGAAAAAAACAAGACCAGACCATCACTGACTTACCACGAAAAGTGGCTCACTTGCAGTTCAATGAATGATTCTGTTTCAACACAAGGGACTTCATTTGTGATATCCTTCCACTCGTGCGCAGCGTCCTTAGTCAGGAGACGAACATTTCCAGTCGGATATCCCTCGGGATACGGGTGTGGTAATTTAATCTTTACGGGAGTTGCAAAATTAACACCTTCAAAGCCATCGATTAAAATAATTGGACAAGGATATGCAGCCATGCCATCAAGAATGTCAATGTGATCTGGCATCAACAATAACTGAAACAAAAATGTCTTATTTCCTCCAGGAATCCTACTGGCTAAACTCATTTTATTATAAATTTAGGTTAGTACGCGCGCGCTGATTGGTCGAAAACTGTGCTTTATTAGTGAACGGAGCACAGCGCTGACGCCATCCGCGCGCGCGAAGTTCTGCTAGATCATGCGACCGTCTTTCTTTGTGCGTAAATAAATTCAATACCGAAATAAAATTAGTACCAGTTTAATAAGTAGTCCGGATGGTGAGATGGTAAAACGCTTGCCTGTCACCTCTGCGGTCCCGTAGCCCCATGTGAGCTGAGTTTGTTGGTTCTGTTTTTGACTCGGAGGGTTTTTCCGGCTTTTCGGTTTTTTCTCTTTCCTCACTCAAATCAACCCTTACAATTTAAAACTGGTTAGAGCTGTGCTCCTTGGTCATACATGGGCTGTATGTATAGCAACTGCCAAAGGCATATTTCTTTTAGGTCGACCCCATTGAGCTTTGCGGCCACTCCTGTTCTTGCGGTGATAACTTTCTAGCGATAAAGTCAGTTTTTTAATTCAGTTTGAAAACCTTCGAAGATTCATTGAAAATCTTATCGTCTGTTCCGCCGGAAAACTTAATTGCAGCAGTATTACAAACAAAACCTTTAAATTTATTAACATACGACAAACCTTTAAGGATCCCATGGATGACTCATCAACAGCTCCTTCAGGAAACTCCAATGTCACATCCTCACATACAGATGACCTTACGACGCATCCTTTGTCTGTGACTTCAAAGGTATCTGTGATGAGTCTGGTAACAACTGCAAGAGCTTTGCGCTCTCCGATCATGATTTCTAAACAAATGTACGCTGAATTAAGGTGTTCATGTGCAAGCGGGTAGTCTTCTTGTATTTCTAAAGATTCGTAATAACGAAATTATTAAATATATTTTAAAAAATCGGTAAATTAAAACCGTTTGTGTATGTGCGGTTTGAAGAAAACACAGCACAGCAGTGCATTGCATTGAAGGACAGAGCAAGATTGAGCTTGCTAAACACACCAAACCAAGCAAATCCAAAAGAAACAGGACTTCTTTTTGACGGATCAAGCTTAAGCAATTAAATTAGAAATAAATAAGATTGAGGGGGTCAATAAATTAACCTTTTATTTGTTTCCATTTTTTCCATGAATCCCGAAGTTCCTTCACTATCGTTTCGTATCCTTCCTTCTTGCTTGGACCAGAATGCGCCAGTGTGACAATTATGGGGTTTTGTAGTTGGACTAGAGAAGTTGATTCAAATTCAACACAAAAACTAACTAGTGTTTCATTTTCTTCTGTTGCACAAAGAAGGAGGTCTGGGTAAATTTTTCTACATATCATTTCTGTAGGATGGGTGACAGCATTTGGTGGGACTTGGAGTAGAACACCAAACGAAGAAAGATCATGGAAACCTCCTTCAACATTTCTGTCAAAGAGAAAAAAGGAAATAAATTACAAGGAGTGAAGAAACTCTTTCTTATGCTACTTGTGAGCCAAGTCCAAGTTCGAGTCTATGCAAGAAACAAAATGGAATGAGGTGTTACTTACATTTTGACAATTTGTGATTCTGAAATGAAATCGTAGGTTTAACATTAGCTGTGGGTATTCTTGTGCTAGATTTTAATCCAACAAGGTTGACCTAAACTGTTACACACAGGGACCCCAATAGTAGGGCCCTGGGACCAATATCGGAAAGGGCTGATCCCGTTACAGTAGGCACAGAATTTCACTCGAAAACCGATATCACACGAATCGAGAAGATATGTACCCAGTGTGTATATTTTAACATTTCTATATTGTTTTTGTACTCTTTTCATTAGTTATTTTGTCGAGCGCTTTCAGCATGAGTCTCATTGCTCGGAATATTGGGCAACCACTTCCCACGTTATCGACTTTAAATAAATTGTTATTATTATTATTATTATTATTATTATTATTATTATTAGTATTAGTATTAGTTGTGTAACATATATCTATATCAACTCATGAATATCTGTTACAGAACACAGGAATATCAGTTACAGAACTCATGAACATTAAAAGGATTTAAATCAGCCAATCAGTGTACTTCAATCGGCACGTGAATACTACAAAAGCCCCGCACTCCGCTGGTAAGACTTTAATGCTGCCCCCGACTTTTACGTTTAATTGTTGACCTGTATTGGAATACATAGATGACATCACATGATCACTTCAGCGTTCTTGATTGGTAGTTTTGGACATGAATTATTAATGAGTAGAATAATTAGAAGAATTAACAAAACAATTACTATCGATAGATATATTGGGGCAGGATATTGTTAGAAAATATGAAAATATTCACAATGAGAATACATACCTGGAGGAGGGTAAAGAGGACTAGGTGGAGTAGGAGGACGACCTGAAATGCATGTGAAAAATCGTATTTAGCAGTTGTCGTAATAGGAGAAGCCCCATAACTTAAGGTGGCTGGACCCCCTTCACGCTTGACCGCTACCTTCCACGTTTGGAACGCTGGTGCATAAACGTGTTTTATCCGATTACAAATCTTTTTTGCACATAAGTCATAAGATTTAATTAATGTTTGAATCAGTTTTTAATGAGATCGGACGTCATAACACGTGATTATGATGAAATATTTGTTTTCGTTGGAGAACAATTTTAGCCTTGCAGAGCATTTAACACTAAAATGCTTCGTACCACATAATTATATACTAGATGCCTCCATTTGTAGGGATTTTAAAAAAAATCTATCTAGCTAATTATGAGATATTTGAGATTCTTTAAATATAGTGCATAATTTACTTCAAAACTAAACATTTGTAGATAGAATAGTAGCTAAAGAACTTAGATTCGGTCGTACATTTGAAGAAACTTAGTTACAACATTGTCAAATTTTCATTTTCACTCAAAGTTTTTCCATTTTTACGAAGATTTTGGGTCAAAATTTAGGGGACTGGGGACGAAAATAAAAAATAAAAAATTACAAGCAAATGTCACCCAATATTTTGCCATGGCACTCGTCCATTATTCATTAGGCGAAAATCATAAAATCAATAAAACCATTAGCTTTTCTAAGATTAAAAATATAGTTTTACGAGTTTTTCTCATGGTGTTGGGGTATTGTCTCTCTCCCATGACCAAGAAACTTCCAGCGTTAATGTAGCTATCATGTGACGTCATTATATATTATAGCAAGTCATGATATACATAGAGATTATCACATGTTAAGAACTTGATATCGATTTTATTCACGAGTTTTTCCGTATCATATCGCGAACGAGCGAGTCCTCGAGCGATATCAAGTTCTTAACATGTGATAATATCGAGCTTAAATGTGTAATAACAAGCATCATTCTGCAGATAGTGTGGAATAAATACAAAATTACTATCGATAGATATATTGGGGCAGGATATTGTTAGAAAATATGAAAATATTCACAATGAGAATACATACGAGGATCACGGTATGGAGGACGACCTGAAATGTCAAAAATCGCAATTAGCTGATGTCGTAATAGGAGAAGCACCATATTTCAATATGTTCGTCAATAAACATATAAATAGGCATTAAGTGTACTTATGTACTATGGATTACATAGTCATTAGGTTGGCAACAATAAAATATTTCCCTTCCTCGTTTTCTAAAATTGACTCTTCCCCCAAACCCAACTGATACCCCGCCGGCATATCGGCTTCATTATTATCGATAGATATACTGTGAAGAGGCCATCGATTGCTAGAAAATGTGAGGATATTCATAAGTAAATACATACCAGGTGTAATCATATCGAGAATAGGAGGAGGAATATTATAACCTAAAATGTGAAAAATTGTAATTGCCGTGAGTTATAGTAGAAGAAGCTCTTTATCTTAATATATGTATGTGTATCTAGGTATTATTTATTAAGTTAGCAACATTAAAACATTTTCCCCCGCTTTCTAACGATAACTCTCCCCCGTCCCCCCCTTCAGGCGACACAATGTTCAGATAAGGCAGCAGGCCGGCATACCAGTTTCAAAACAAAAGACCTGCTTTTTGGGGGGAGGAAGAAGAGATTTTTGCGGTGAACTTCTGATAAATGAACGTTAATTTTCCTAGCAGTTCTGCTTATAATATAGTCAAGTAAATCCGCGCGATCTGATTGGTTGGAAAGCATGAACCATTTTTCCATGGGTTGCACGGTCACGTCAGCTTTTTTTGCTTCGGCGAAAAAAAAACTTTTTGTATCTTTTTGTTGACAATTTATCTAGAAAAGATAACTTAAAAGGGCTGAAAAAACTAGCGAAAATACTCATCAATCTAGTATAGAGTTGTCATTTGATCAGCCTAGTAATAAAACTATTAGCTTGGTAACCAGGCTAATAAGGCGGGTTACATAGCTATCAATCAGTTCCCGAATGTGGCTTTCGTCCTGACTGCCATTGATAGCTATGTAATCAGCCTGGTTAGTCTGGTTACCAAGCCGTCGAGTGATGTTGGTCGAGTGCCGAAGATCGACCGAAACTGRAAATCCCGAGAGTTCGCACTATTTTGAAATCAGGTGTAAACAAATACAAAAATATTGTTATCGTTAATTCATTCAACAAAAGTATTTCCAAAGTAATTAACTATAAATATGACGCTTACCAGCTCTACTTCGCACCTTCACAACTGCAGTGAAGTCCTTTCTGAAGCTCTACATGGGAGTGAAAGCCGACAAAGCATACTACCCAGAGAAAATTAATCCAGTTCAGTCAGTTAGTTTTGATCCTTGTACAAGAGGCTTTCCATTGCTAAGTCATTGTACGATAACAAACTTGAACATCGTCAACAACAACAAAGACAGCCACTGTGTTTTTCATTGATTTTCTTGGCATTTCTGTACTAAGATATCTCAACATTTGAAATGTACTTCTTACAGTTGAAAATCACTTTCTCCGTAGTTTTGAACATTTTTGATTCACTTGTAAGCTAAATTTTTGCCACTATATTATTCATAACAGTCTTCAATGTAAAGCTGCATTTTCAAAACGACTGTTTTTCTGTTTTTGGCGCCTTTGTGCTTTTCATTCACGCAAAGCGCGTAAGGAGAATTTAGGGCATGATCAACGATTAAAGTCAATATTTTGTATTCATTTCTTGGTTGTTGACTTGACTATATTATAAATGAAATGGATCATAAGTAGCTGTGCGTCCATCGAGTTATGGAGATGCCTGCGGGAGGTTGCTAAGCACAAAGAAAAGCGTAAGAGTTGCACGACGCGAAGCGGAGTTGAAGTCGTGCATTTTTTACTTGGTCGTTGATATTTGTGAACATTTGGACACAGAAATAAGGCGCTAACGCTGTATAAATAAGTCTACAAGATAAGAAAATAAGTAGAAAACAAGGTATGTAAATAAGAAGAAAACGCGGTATTTGACTAATTCAAAAACGGTTTATTTGGTCTTTCATGTTTTTTGTTCCATTCATTTACTGAGCTACTCAATTGGAACTGTTTAATACACGAGCAATCTGCAATAATTTTTTTTATTGCAGCTTAAGATGTAACGCCGTTGAATTGCAGGTTGCAGAATAAATTGCATGTGTAACAACCCCCTTCTGCAATGTTGCAAGTTGCAGAAAGGTTTGAACGAGCTTCAGTACATTTCGCAAGGTTAGGACGTAGTTTGCAGTGTGTAACATCTATCTCGCAATCTGCGATGCAATCGATGTCGCAAATCACCAATGAGAACCCAGCACAAAAATTCGACATGTAACCGGGCCTCGACACACCCATCCTCGTGAGGGAAGAATGTATGAAAGGAGAAGCCCATTTATTACGATTCCATATTAGGTGATTGTGTGCCACACCTACCTTCTGTTTCCCGGGCAACCGCACCTTCTACATCAGAGGAAGTCTTTATTTTCTTTTCAAATTTGAGCAATTCTTGGAGTAAATCTTGTCTTTCGATATCCAGAAGTAGCTCTTTTAAAAAATCTAAATTATCTTTAGCCAGATATCCTTCTTTTTGTAGCTTTTTAAGAAACTCCAGGCCTGAATTCTTTCCACGGATGTCAATATCATCCAACAACGAAGGAGGAAGCCTTTCTGTTACTTTTAGTTTATTTATAAAGATTTCAACATCGTGTGCTCGGATTTTGCGTCCAATTTTAGTCAGTAACTCTTGAAACTTCATCGACTGCAGTTCTGTTTGGCTCTCCATCTCACAACGTCAATGAATAGCGTTGGCTATAACTAAAAAAAACAACAAAGAAATAAGCAAAAACCATTAAATGATCATGATAAATCAATAATATAATAATATAATAATATCGTTCGTTTCGTCAAGCTAGGTCGTCAATTTATAGCTCGGGAAGATGACCTTCAGTAAATAAATCTTTATTCCATGATATTTTAAGGTTTGATGCTTATTTTACGTGAGTTTCATTAGAAACATTTGAACATATGCATTATTTGTATGGTAAGTTTTTTAGGCCTATCTTGCGACGCAGCTTTCACTCTATAGATTTTCTCCAAACTCGGCAGACAGAATTGTGGCAATCTATTTACGGCCAGGAATCTTAAGTTTCATGGAAATCGATAGTCTCCTATATGCATACGTTGTTAGCGTCTGTCACAAACACAAATACACCGCTTAGGCTTCCTGCAGACATCTATTAGCCAAGGGTTTATTTTATTATTTTTTATTTATTTATTTTTATTTGACTTAACCTACTCTTACCTATATTGTCAGGAAGTTCATTGATTAGAGAGGCTAGGAATCTATTACAGGTTTTCCCTAATTACGATAGATCTTATAAGCTAAACTAAATATTTCACATAAATATACACCTAAAATTTAACATTCATAACGTTTAGTTCGAAGAAGTTTAGCCTTAAATTAAAAACGACAATTTAAAGTTCCTTTTTGAATTCTTGGAAGATGACATTTGACATTTGTGTTGGGATGTAACTTGTTTTGGAGAGTGCTGCTCATATCAAAGTAAACTTAGGTCAGTTCTACAACATGATTTATTTCATCGCATATCAAGAACGTGTTGCATCATATGAATAAAGTTTAGACAGAAATGAAGCTAAATAACACTTGTTACCTTACCTTAAAGTCTTCAATCGATCGTGTTTTATCGAATTTCAATTGCGAAGTCTGTTCGTTACAGTTTGTTACTCAGTAAAAGATCAGGAAAAGATCAAAACGGATGTGCTTCAGAGGAGAATGGCGTCTTTATGTCCGTCTTAAAATACCCGAATTGAGAACCACTGCTTTAGTCTGGTACTCTAAAATCACAAACGTAATGTATTAGAGTGTAGAGATTGAATTTTGCACATTCTTGATCGATAATCACAAGCCCGTGCCAGGTTCAGGCACAACTGAAATTTAACATTACGGACTAACTAGGGATCAACGTATGTAACAAATATTAGTAATTTTTCCTGTGTAGGGGTAGTGTGGGTAAAGGCACAGGCAACCCAAAAATCTTCATTTCCCCCCCCCTAAATTTTTAGTGTTTCAATTGTCTTGAAAATACTATCCCCCTTTATTTCCATTTTTTAAAGTTATTGTTATTACACAGTCGTGTACAATGAGGAGTAGCTAGAGATCCCAGTAAGTTACGTTTTGGTTCACAGATCCTCCTCGATTGTCGTTCCTCCTCGTCAGTGGCTCTGGGGACCCTATAAATTCTCGCAATTTGATTGGCTTTTAAGATCTACTTTTTGATTGGATAATCGAAGACCAATAGATGTTTTTAATTTTTTCGCCATTTGTAGATTTCACAAAGCCAAAGGTTTGTTCATGCTTGTCTTGGCTTGTCTTGGAAAGAGTTCGAGCATCGGCGGTGAGGACGTGGTCGCAATATCCCTTGCTACCTGTTGAAGGTTTTCCCAGAGCCTTTGACGGGGAGTAACGACAACCGAGGAGGATCTGGGAACGAGAATGAGTAAGTTGCAAATATCATAATTTTTTTATTCTGTACAGGGATAATGTAGATGCAAGGCACAGGCTACCCAAAACACTTTCTCTTTTCCTTATTTTTATTGAGTGTTTTTTGAAAGTGTTTTCTCCTTTATTTCTAATCTTTAAGTAAGGTATTACTTCCACAGTCGTGGTTTGACCGGCAAGCAAAATTATTTGCTATTTCTTCTGAGATAATCGTCTGAACATAAAAAATTGTTTTAACATAAAATAACGGTTTTAACATAAAATAATGTATTAGTTTAGAACAAAAAAAAAAAAAAAAAAAAAAAAAAA